GTAACTGTTGTGTCACTATGCAGGAATAAGAGCAAGGAACTGCAAAATGGAGGTAAGTTCTCTCTGAGGATCATCTGGTGGAACAGAAGGTGTTTTAGGCAGTGTGATAAAGTCAGAATGCCATCTGCTTTTGTAGATGCCCTTGGGACAATAGAAGTATTGATAATTCTAGCTGGTCAAGGGTATAGTGGAAAAGAGTTTATTGAGGAAATGTATCAATGAAAATAATATGCATGTCTCTGGAAATGCTTGTTTGCTGTTGAACCTTTTTTGTCTGTGAAGACTAAAAAATGAGGGAAATCTCATTTTTCTTTCAGAATCTGGGTTGAATTTACTTGTTGAAGTGTTTGGTTGTATCAGAGCATTAAAAGGCATTGTTTGGGCATATAATAAAGTGGATTTTCAACACATGACAGTGGATGTATGTTATTTTAAATGGACCGTACTTCACCTTTTTTGCTTATGGGCACTGGTTATTTGCCTCGTTGTGCAGTGTGATTGTACAGGGCCACCAGCACTAGCTCACTAGTGAGCCTGTGTGAGAGAAATGCTTTGGGTTTTGTAGTTGAACCCTGACTGGGAGAGGGGATGCTTTTGGAAGGAAAGTAATTACGAGAAGTTGTTGTTTCCAATTGTGTTGTGACCACTGACATGTGTAGTTTTTTAAGTTGCCAAAGCAGAATGAAATCACATTCAAAGGGTGATCTTGAAACAACACAGCCCTGAGTTCAAGCTACTGGTTTCTCTCTACCTCACAAAGGAAGAATCTTTTCAGTTAAATCATTTCTGTCTTTCAGCTAAACACATGTGTGACTGAAGTTATGATCAATTTTAAATTGACCTGTAAGATATAGTGCTAGGTTTGTTCTGCTTCAATTTTAACCTTCCTCAAGGAGAATCTAGTGAGTTAACTGCTATGTTAATGTTTGCAAATTTTATTATGTTTCTTATTTATCTTTGCTACAAGTAAGGTGAAGAATACATATTCATGTTTATACAGAAAAAGAAATAAAACTATTGCATTAGCTCTAGTAATAAGTGCTATAATTGTATTATTCCTGAATTTATACAGGCAACATTCTTTTTAACAATAGAAATTGCAACAAAAGTAAAGAACAGGGAAGGGTAGAATCCTATTTATGAATTAGTACCATTTATTAAATGCACATCTGACTTTGTTTTGAAGCAGCATTTTTGCTTTGCTTCAGAACAGTTTGAAAGATGTTACATAGAAGGATTAAATCTCAAAACAAAAGAACCACCCTTTTAGGTTTGTTTTTGTGTTTCCAGTTTACCCTCTGAGCCAAAATCCATTATTTGCCCCCTTCTGCTTTTGATTGATTCCTACTTCATGGTCATGATATTCGGTTTTCATATGCTACAGGGAATATATATGAGCTAGATGAAAAGGAACAGATAGTTTTGAACTTTAAACCTTAACCATCCTGAAAGGAAGGGAAAGGCTTTGCCTCCTGGCTGTCATACACAGAGTGAGGCATGGTGAAAAACTTGTCTTGGAGAGAAGCAGTTGTGATAGAATCACCCCAAGCTGGCACAGTGGAGTCCCTCTCTGAAAGCAAAGCTGTTTTGTGGGCTGGTGATCATAGAATCATTTAGGTTAGAAAGGGCATTTAAGACCATCTCAGCCCAGCTCTGCCAAGTCCACCACTAAGCCACGTCCCTAAGTACCACATCTACATGGACAACCTGTCATGGCATGTGAATGAAATGTGTTTTGGAATGAGGTCTACTGTTTACCATAGCCATTAGTTTAGGGAAGACAACTTTCCCAACAGCTTTAGAGACTGTGTCTGTTTCACTGTTTTCTGTGTCCTTCAGAAGACTGACAAAATTGGCAACAAAATAATCCCAAATCGGCTTTTTGAGTACATATGGCACTAATATAATTCTCAGAGATGTCAGGGCATTCTCTAACAACATTTTCTAGGGGCTTACTGAAGCATTTGTTAGACTGATTTGCAGAGCCTCAGCTTGAACTTTAGTCTCTTTTCCTATTCCTTGCAGTCTACTCTAGAAGTTATTATAGTCAAAACTCATGCTGCCTGGACCTAGCAGGCAGGGAAGTCCCTGCTTGTGAAGAGGAGGTGATGAATAGTCACACTTCTCTGACTGTCCCTGTTCATGCTTCATCCCACTGCAGACTGTGGCAGCCTCAGTGGTTTTACCTCCCACCTCCCTCTGTAGGTCCTGTCTCAGCGGGACATCCTGTTCACTTTCTATTCCATTTTCTTTTCTGTGACAACTTCTCTCATTCCTTTGCTAAACATTGATTAAACTACGAATTGATGGCAGCAACGAAATGCACTGTATTTCTCTTTCAGATATGGCAACAGTTTTTCTCATTATTTTTGTGTTTGGGAAAGTTTAAGGAGTTTACATCACAGGCTGTTTTCTACTGTAAAAATAAACTAGTCCACAGATTGGTTCTAAACTACAAGCCACCTTATGTTTGCAAAAGTAGTTCCCAGTCTTGGTGGATTTTGTAGCCATGTAATTGAAATATTAGAAGATAGATTCACAGCCAGTGGGGGGTTTAAAATGCTAATTGTTATCTACTAGTCAGTATATTATTTAAACTGGAGAAAAATATGTTGCTGTTCTCGTTAGACACGGTGCTTTTCACCTTACTCTCAGTTATCATGTCCTCTTTCCCCCCACCTCCTCCCCACACATCACTGGTCAGCAGCAGCACATGGGAAATGATCAAGCTGAAAGTTAACCCAATGCACACCACAAAAATGTTTGGCTGCTGTTAAATTAATTTTGTCAGGTTTTGTGGGATTTTTGGCATGTCTTCATTTGTTTATGTCAGTTTATTACTCATGTCTTGCTACTTAGTCATAAGTTGATATTTCTGTCCAAATACTCTGAGCCCAGAGTAGGAAAACACTAGTACTTTTGCCCAGATATTCTGCTGTAGTTGAACTCTATTTAATGTTTTTCATAATTTTGGTTTAGGATTCCAGTTGTCTTACTTGAGGCTAGGAATGGAAAGTCAAATGGGGCAAAATCACAGGTGATAGTTTTAAACTGAAATTTGGACTCTGGAAGGTCTCATGGACTGATTCAGCAGATGGAACAGTGGATGGAGGGAAGGTATTAAGGAACCCAGCTGCCTTGCTTCTGGGTTAGGCAGAAATACCTGCAATGAATGACTTGTTTCTGATCTGGCAGGCCATGCAGGGAAGAAATAGAGCAGTGAAGGGAAGTGAATCTTCATATTATGTAAACTAGATCAGTGCTTTAGTACTGCCAAGTAATTCAGTATATGGTGCTTGCCCAGGTCATGGGTACAGTGAGGCTCATGGAAGTTCCTGATTTTCCTGAATTTTCCAGCTAAATGGAATGCCAGTCTGCTGGCAAGAACAGTCAAGCCCAAGGACAGACATGAAGTGGATTTATTCCTCCTTCTAGCAGGGATGAACTTGCTTACTATATTTGCAAGTGTCAATCTGATCTGAGCCAGCATATGATTGTGCTGCTTCTTGTTTATAGACTCTTGCCTGGTTTCTGGGGAGAAGGGGTGGGGAGTAATCCCTCTTTGAAAAGCAAAACCCACATAATTCTTTTAGAAATTTCAATAAGCATATAATTTTGTTTAAAATTAATGAAAAAGTAAGATGATCCCACCCCAATCTTAATTATGATTATTCAAAAGAACAGCTTGAAAATACACTTACTTGAGGAATTGATAGTATTTTAACTGAGCTGTAGGGGGAAATATCTGATGATGTGGTATCTTTTGTGATGTAGCTAGAGTGGCAAAGTCATCCACTGTAGTAATTAAAAAAGGACAAGGTGTTTAGGATTGCAAAACACCAATATATTTATGTATAGATAAGAACAGAATAGAAAACTCTAAGCAAGAAATTTGTTTGTCAACTGTTGATCTTATGGCAACATACTGGTGATATGGCAACATATTCTGAGAGCAAACGGAGATTCAGAGTTTCCTTTAACTCTGTATATCAAACTCCCAATGACAGAGAATGTTAGCTGTGTTATCGTACAATAACCCTGAAATTTGTGTTGCTACAAATTTCCACTTTTGAGCATCAATAAAAGCTTATGTGTGTTAGGATTTTTAGGAAGTAGAATTAATTTTAGGTAGAAAACTTTTACTTTCCAATGTATTTTCAACTTTATAGTGCTAAGAATTATTCTATGTATACAGTTTTGATACTGAGCAAAATAAAGTTGCTCCTGTGGTGAGATCATTCTTTTAAAATCCTGAAATTTACGTTACATGTAAGTACATATGATAGTGAGGCTTCTGATGCATGTTTTGTAATGGTATGAAACTGCAAAATATTGGTAAAATACATTGCAAATAATGAGTGAACTCCTGTAAAAAGATGAAATTTCTCTGTGGTACCCGGTATGGCTCTCATGAGTATTGCTTTGGATCTCCAGGAGGTTTTAACTGGAAGGACACTTTTGAAACATGACTTTGAGGGCAGTCTTGTTTATAAACAGAAACAAACTTCAGGAGTTTAAGGCTGCCTTTTTTTTTAAGGTTTTTTTTTAAACCTATATCTGAAACTACATCAGTACAAATTTTATTACTCAGTGTACCTTACAAATTTACTAGTTTTTAAGCAAGCAATTCTCGGAGTTATTTCACTTGCTGTGATACATTTCCCACATAAACTATCACATTTGTCTATTTCTTTTTTTTTTTTTACTGTCAGTCACCAGTCCTGCCATGTTCAAGCCTTTTAGTATGTCATTTGTTATATGTTCAATATATTCATATTCATTATAAATATTTTTCTGGTTTCCTATGGCATACTGGTTTCCCCACTAATATTTTAATTGACTTTGTAGCTTATACTGCGTTTCACATTTGGTTTTGGTCTAATTCTCCTCTCTCTTTTTTTCTTTATCACTGGAAAAATAATTTGTGTTTAGCATCTGTAACTATGAGTACTTCAGAGTTTTACTTTGCATTTCTAATACCCGTTCTTTATCTGTTTTAGCATCTCCCTGTATTCTTCCCAGTGTTCTTTACTTCCTATTTTCTTGTAAGTATAGCATATTCTCTTTTTCCCCTCAGTTTCTATTGACCTGTTTAACCGTGTGGAGTTAATTGAAGCTACATCTCACTCCTGAAGAAAATAATATAATCACTGTATAAATTCAGTTCCATTTATACACCCTCTCCTTATGACTGGGGTATCTTGCTATTTGTCTAAAAAGTATTAAATGCAATATCTTTTTACCTAACACAGCTGTCTAAAATTGCACAGCATTCATCTTGGTAGAAATTAAATTTCTATTCCATTTGCTGACACTGTCCTGTTTCTATTTTCTTTATTCTGATTTTTAGTGTTTGGAATCTGACATGAACAGGTGGGTCCCTGGCAGGTTTCAGGAAACAACCAGTCATGTAATTCATCTATCATTTTGTGGCATCTATGACATGTTCTAAATGGTTTCCAAGTTAAAATTGAGCTCACGGTTGTGGCTAGTTATGTACTAGTCCCATTATTTTTGTGTACACTATCTGTGCTTTACTCAATAGTCATTCTTCTGTCTTTTGTGTAGTGACTTCACTTGATATTTTTGGTTTCCCTTTGTGTTCTTAATGGATTGTTTCCTAAGGCAAGATTCAGCATTTTAGGCATCTACTGTATCTAAAAATGTTCAGAGCCTGTCACCCATGAACCACCTCTTAGTAAACAGAAGTCTAAGCACAGCTTTATGAACTTCCTGCTGAACATGTGAGGCTTCAGTGCTGGACTTTGGAATTGCAGCAATGGGAGCTGTAACAATTTGCAAGCCCAAAATTCAAATGGAGATGATTTTTTTTTCTTTTCCCCTGCTTTCTCAAATTACTAGGTTGTTGACCCAAGTCCTTCCATGCCCTTGCAGTGATATTTTTTAAAATCTACAAATTTACTCTTGAGCTGTGAACACACCAGTATGACTTCTGTGAAAAGATGTGCTCATACCTTCATCTCCAAATAGTCAAACAAACCTTGCTTTCCTATTGCCAGCTACACAAACTATAAAATTCTCCCTGAGGCCACTGCACACTTTGATTTAAAGTATCAGACATGATACACTTTGTTCTTGGTTTTTGTGTAGCAACCGGTGTCATGATACCTAACTAAACCTCCCTTGGTTTTGGCGTGGTTGACAGTAGTTGCTAAGTCCTGCTCTCTGAGATAGATCTTAACTGGTTTGTCTTTCTTGAAATTTTGCCTTAAATCACACTGGCTTTTCTGTTGCTTGGGTTTTTTCTCTGTCACATCTGTAACTTCCTAATTTCTTGATTTTTTTCTTCAAAATTTCAGCCTCCTAGTATTAGTATTAATAATAATTTAGAGGCTGAGGTTTAATATTAATATATAAAAATTATATTAATGTATAATGTATTGGTGCTGCTGAAACTTAAATATCATAGTGCTTATTCTGTTGCCTCGTTAGCTGTCTCTTCTGTCTAGCAATAGTATCATCATTGGTACTTTCATCTAGATACATATAATTTCTCTAAAGAAAAAAAATCCAGTACTTCATAAAAGCAGATTTTTACTGGAGAAAATAGCCTTTGGGTATTGGGACCACCTGTAACCAATAATCCTGGATTCTATACTGACTTGCTTTGTAGCCTGAGGGAATCCGCTTTGGCAGCTTTGCACCATGTTCTCTGTATGGCAGCATGTGTTAACTACTTAATTAGTGGTTTGTGGACTTATCAGTTTAGGGTGTTTGTGTGTAGATTTTTCTTTTGATAGTTTGTTCATAAATATGACAACGGTCAATGAAGTAGAAAGCCTAAGGTCTTAAATAGAAGCTTACTGCTTTCGTCAGCAACATGAAGAGCACCCACCCAAACAGTACCCATGCATGTGTGATCCAGCCTGCTGTGTAACGACAGCCTTCAGTCCTCCCAGCTGCTGGCTGAGAAGCTGTTCACTGCTTTGAGCTGTGCTTGTTTCCTTGGAATTTACCCTGGGCATGTTTCTTTTTATATATTTGCTTATTTACTTCTACATTCTTTATTGCAAAATTTGTTGAAAACATGTTCTTAGGATGCCCATTTTCCCAGGACCCAAAGCCATCGTTGTAGAATGGTTTGGGTTGGAAGGGATCTTAAAGATCATCTAGTTCCAACCCCCCTGCCATGGGCAGTGACACCTTCCACTAGACCAGGTTGCTCAAAGCCCCATCCAGCTTGGCCTAGAACACTTCCAGGGACAGGGCATCTCCAGTTTCTCTGGGCAACCTGTTCCAGTGCCTCACCACTCTCACAGTGAAGAATTTCCTTCTAGTATCTAATCTAAACCTCTCCTCTTTCAGTTTAAAGCCATTCCCCCTTGTCCTATTACTACGTCCCCTTGTCAAAAGTCTCTCTTTGACTTTCTTGTAAGACCCCTTTAGGTACTGGAAGGCTGCTCTAAGGTCTCCCTGGAGCCTTCTCTTCTCCAGGCTGAACAGCCCCAACTCTCTCAGCCTATCTTCATAGGACAGGTGCTCCAGATCTCTGATCATCTTTGTGGCCTCCTCTGGACCTGCTGCAGCAGACCTGTGTTCTTGTTATGCTGGGGGCTGTGCTTAAGATCTTCACTGCCTCTGCAAATCCCACACGTGGAGAACTATACTATTTATACTGGGATCAAGCTGTAGGGAAAGATGACGTGAAAACAAATGCCTCCCATGTCTTTTAGTACTTGCCTGCAGTGATACAGCACAAAGCCTAATTGAGAGAGGATATCATATATTTTTTCCTCATACAAAGCGTCTGATCCAAGTCTTTTGGTAGTTGACTGTAGGACTTTGAGGTTTTTTTTAGTTTTGTTGCTTCGGTTTGGAGGGGTGGTTGCTGTTTGTTTATTTGGGGTTTTTATTATTATTTAATATAGGAAGAATAAAGAATTCTAGATATGCACCATGAGTTCACCAATTGAGGCAAGTCCTCACGTATGTGCTGGTCCTGGCTAGAATTGCCAAAAACCACACAGGAGAGATCAGATTCATCTTGAAAGCCCAGGTTATATTTACTTACTCCTTTCCATCATGCCTCATTTCAGCTGTTGCCAGTAGATCGTATTTGGAATTTATTCCTCTCCAACAGTACAGAAGGACAAATTTGGCAAGGTGATACACTGTTCTGAATTACTTTTTAGTTCAGGGCATCTAACTGACTATCCAGCTACCTGTTGCATGGGATACCCAAAGCCACCTTTCTTCATCCTTCTTTTAATGTGGGCTTATTTTCCCAGAATATTGGGAAAACGGTCGGAAAGATTGCCTCTAGAACAATTTGTGAATGCCTCTTTAAACGTGGTGTAAATATCAGTTGTGTGTTTTGCCTAAAAACAAGGTCTTCTGGAAATCTTTTTGTCTCAAATCTTTAACTCTTCAGTGGAGACTACTTTCTGTTGATTACCTCTGAATCAAAAGTGAGAACCTACTTGGCACATGCATTTTTTAATATGCCATTCATCAGAGGATCCTAAAGCTGTGTTTACACTTTCCCAAGACTTCTGATTTTCTTTTCACCCTATTTTCTCCATTGGTGTCAATGTCCAGCTCGTGGTTTTTGCTCCACAACCATTCAGGCAGCAGCAATGTTTAAGGAGCTAGCAGCCCCCTTACTTAAGTGCAGAACTTAGGACTAAACACCCAGCACTGCAGTGTTTAGTTTTTCACTTTTTGGGAACCTCTTTGAAAAGCCAGAGACTTCTTCTTTGTTCTTCCCCTTCCCACCCCAACCAGTTATTTCTGCCAAGGCCAGTAATTTCTGATAAGAGGGTGCTGCTACAGAACAGCTTGCCTGTGTTAGTAGCAGCCAGCAACATTATGTATTGCAGGTTACTCAAGGATAAAGTATAACTGGTCATGATAAGGCACACAGCTGTGCACCCTTGTGTACTGGAAGATGGCTTCAGGTTCATTTACCACCTCTAAATGAACTTCTTGGTGAATATCCCACAGGAGGTTGAGGCATCTTCTATGAATAGCAGACATTAGACAGTGGCTGGAAAGACATGTGCCTTCTTGAGGTAGATATGTAAAAATAGTCGCTTCTTCCCAGCAGGGATGAACTCCAGATACTTGGAGCACTCTGATCTTGGGGTTCCCTGAAAAGCTTGGCACACGCACCTCAGTGTTCTGAACCTCTGAAAGTCTCGAGCCTTCTTTGTCTACTACTTTTCTGCATCAAAATGCCAAATGTGGGGGGGCGAGGGGCAGTTGTGAATGGAGTTCTTGCAAACTCTGGTATTAAAAACCTCATCTATGTGATAAGAATGAGCCTGCCAATAAGTATTCCCATGTGTTTTCAAAATGAAGGTAAATGAAAGAGTTCTGCCAGTATAGTGCTATACCTATCTATGTAAATCTCATTCATAATTTAGCTAAGATATTTTAGAATGTTTTGATGTCCTTACAAGCATTAGATCATGTGTACTATATGTATATACTTATGTCTATAGAGGAAATTACCTGTGATGTCTTCTGGCAGTATCTGCTCTAGACTAGCCTTGCATTAGGGCACTGATATTGCACAGAAAGCCATTTTTCCCATCACTCTGGGGATTGGATTAAATTGCAGTGAGGTGCTTTTAATATAGAATGTGTTCACCTCAGGAGTTAGTGTGAAATAGCTGGGTTTAAACCTTAGCCTATTTTGAAATAGCTTTCCTCTGTAGATGAGCCCCAAGAGATGTCCTTGCTTAACTCTCAAATTTGAGAGCATTTTGAATGAATGCTGCGGTATCATAACCTGCAGCTCTAAAAATATCAAGATAAAAGAGTTTTCCCTTATGAAATGTTCCCAGTATTAAAAGGCCACAAAAAGGAGTCTGTAGCCTGGGGAAGGTTTTTCTTGTTTGTCCTTATTTGTGTTAGGAGAGGGACATTTTTTTTCCGCCATAAGACTGGAAAGTTTACTTAATACCTTATGCATAAAAATGCACAGCTCCTTTTCAAAGATAGTAAAACTTAATCAGACTCCTTAAAAGATATGTTGCCAACTTATATATTAAGGTTATCCTTTTTGTTTTTATGGGCATGGTCTTAACAAAGCATTAGACCTAACATTTGTTATTCCCATATTTTAAAATATGTAAGCTTTCTTTTATTTCCACTTATATGATATAAAATAGTCAGACTAAGGTAAACCTAATTAACTCAAGGGTGGAGAAATACCATTTTCTCTTGTATTGGTTGCCCACTTTCAGTAATAGAATTTTGTGTTCTGATCAGTTGCATTTTTGATTGGCATTGAGTTTATCTTCGCATGAATGCTTATGCTCTGAGAAGGAAAGACATTCAAAAGCAAAAATAATTAAGTAGCCTATAACCTACTAAAATCCAATACAACCAATAATGCT